TTGAAATTTTATGTCTAACAACCATTTGTTACAGTAATCAAATCAGGTGACAGTTTTTTCATAAATTTTTTTTGGTTAAGTATTAAATTATTATAAGCTTTGTTAAATTTTTTCACTCTAAGATAATGATGAATTGGTTGACTAATAAAATGCATTGTGCCAAAAAAAAACATTTATTTGACAACAACACAGTAATTTATTAAGAATATGATTTTTAATTTAAAAAAAAAAAAGAAAACATTAAAAGTGTGTTGAAGTAAAAATAGTAAAAAAAAAAATTATATGTATCTGCCAACATCGTTAACAATAGATTTTTTTTTAATTTACCCTAAAATACTGCTGACACTGTTGAAGATGCACATTTGCAATTGCAGCTGCCGGTTGACAGTATTTTTCCACTAATGGTGCAAATTGTGCACACATTTGTCGTAGTTCTGCTCTATCCAATACTACTGAATTTGGTATATTTGTGGTTCCAAGTTTTAATTCGTTCATGAAAAGCTATAGTTTTTATTTTAGAATTATAATATTTAAAAAAAATTTTATTTTTTAAATTATAAAACAACTGACGTTATACTTAGAAGTAATAATTGTAGATTCCGAATTCTTTTCTCTTGTGATAATTACGATAACGTTAAACAAATAATTGTAAGCTTTAATGATTATCAATTTTTTCTGCTCATGTCTCAGTTCATATGTTAAAAAATCAACTTTAACACGTATTTTAGTTGAAATATGCGATGAACAATTCATTAAATCATTTGTCATTAAATCGCAAAAATTTTCTCAGTAAAATATTGTCGCATTACAAAAAATATTTTCGATTGATGCGACTAAAGAAATATATGCGATATTTGGTCTCAATTTATTATAATTCTTTCTGCTGTCGGTATTACTGATTATCGAAATAAAACTTGCTCCTAATAACAAATTTTCTTCTTTCATTTTTTTACACCAATATTATATCATTATATTTCACATCTGTGAAACTCAAAATTAAAATAACCGGAACAGCAAAAACAACCAACTTCAGGGTTTTCATCCATCGCTTTTTGAATTTCATTGCTTAGCGCAGTGGGGAACGGCTTTTTTGATAAATCTGATACCTTCGTTTGTCTACAGAAATACTGCTTACATCACATTTTTTGATAATTTGCTATTAGTTTCAAAGATAGCATATAGCTTTTTTTTGTCAACAAAATTATTATGTACTGACTAATTAAATTATCAAAACAGCTAATTACTACCACTGAAAGAAGAAAAAGAACGACAGTTAATACTTAAAGTGTTGCCATGTGGTCCTTAACGGTATCATAGATTGACCTTTCGAGCCAATAGTTTCCGATGATCCTAAACCATGATTAATATCATAGTCATTTCCGGATCTTAATATTTTTGAAAAAATCATTTTTTTTTTTAAAATTTTAAAGACCTCTTAATTGGACAGTTCTGTACCAAAATACTACCATAGTCAGTTTCAGTTTTTTTTAATTGAATTAAAAGTTAAGAAAGGGTGTTTGAATAAATTACATAAATCATTACAGAAAAAAAAAACAATTTTGGAAAAATTATTTAAATTACGCTCAAAACGTATAATTTAAAAATGAACGCTGAATATCTGTGTTTAAAAAACTACTAAATTTAAAA